AAATCAGAGGGAGACAAAACCAAGAGGAAACACCAAGTAAGAAGAGGAAAGACATGCACAACTAACAACAGGGTAGAGGACGAGCGGTCTGAATCTGAAGAAAACATCAAGCCCAGAAACGGCGCAAATACTAGAATTTAGTCACGAAAGTGACGCAAAATAACCCAGATCACAACCTCGGTTTTAGACTGGCTGCCAAACAATAGCACAGGTTTCATTTGCATTTTGGCACTCTGACATTAAGTAAAAGCTACCTATTAAAAAAGATACTTTCACCCACTGTAATTACATTTTTACTTGTCCTATTCTGCTTTTAATCTCCGACAAAACAAAATTCTTTGTTTTCTTGGTAAGCACAAAAATTGATTTTTGTCTTACTCTTTTAATACAATGTCCAATAGCTACCAGGAATGTATCATCATCACCAGGTGCCTTGCCGACTGGCGTAGGCGATCATGCCTCTCCACTATCTGCGATCTCCTGCAGCATGTATCAGTTCGTGTACCGACACACCTCCATGCCATGCAACAAGACTGTCAAGAATCTTCTCTCGTTGTCTTCCTCTCTGCATCCTTCAACAGATCTTTCCAGTGGTCACATGTTCTATTTTCCCATAACATGGTCAAAAAATGATGACTGTCTTCTTCTGATGTCTGTGATAAGTTGTCTTTCAAAACCTCTTGGTTGCTCCTTTTGGTTGTCCAAGGTATTCTAAGGTTTGTTCTGTAAAACCATATCTCTGAGGCCTGAAGAAATTGTTTAGCCTGCCTACCGATTGTCTAGGATTCACAGCCATATGTTAAAACTGGATGTATGTAGCAAGCAAGAATTCTTTTTCTAACTCTGAATGACAAAGAAATGTTGCACAAGATGATCTTCACTTTAAAAAATGCAGTTTCTGCCTGTCCTATTATGTTTCTTTTCTCAGTTATGCATCTTCCATCTGATGTTATCCATGTGCCTACTTACTTAAATTTCTGAACTTGTTCCAAAATAACACCATCGACTTTTATTACACATTTAGGAATAATTCATTTCTTTGATACCACCATCACTTCTGTCTTCCCATTATTCAAACTGGGGCCCATTCTTCCACCACAATGTCTATCATTTCCTGTGTTCATAACGTCTCATTCTTTGTTCTTTTCTGCCCTTTCTCTCATTATTTCATTAGTGAGAAGAAACAAGTGTTGGGGGAGGAGGGAGGGGGGGGGGGGGAGAGAATGGGAGATTTGGTAAAAAAAAAACACTAACAGTTTCTTTACTCTATGATTCTATTTCCTTTCAAAATACTGCTTTTGTTTAAAAAAAATATCTTTTATTATTATTATTATCATTAGTAGTAGTGTTGTTTAACACATTCTTCAGCATGACAACATTTTTATCATGTTTTACTTTTACATGTATAATCTATAAAGAACACACATTCTTCAGCATGACAACATTTTTATCATGTTTTACTTTAACATGTATAATCTATAAAGAACACACATTCTTCAGCATGACAACATTTTTATCATGTTTTACATGTATAATCTATAAAGAACACACATTCTTCAGCATGACAACATTTTGATCATGTTTTACTTTAACATGTATAATCTATAAAGAACAAGTCTAGGTTTCTCAGAATCCCTTTCTTTCCACAAACACATATTGTTCTTTATTTAAATTCAATTAGAAATAATGACATGGTTATTGCGATTTATATATAAAATTCTTCACACGCAGTGCTCACCTTTCAAACAGTATATGTTTCAGCATATCACTGGGTATATGCCTGTTGTAAATTTTATAAAATAAATTAATAATTCCCTTCAAAATTTCTGCAGTTCTTCACACTCCTTTGATTTGATTGATTTAATCTGGCTCAGCTAATGTCCTACCTAGCATTTTTTGCTTGAGATTATTATTGAAATACTAGTGAGGCAACAGATTTATTGTTGAAGCCAAGAATGGAGATTGGGCGTCACTAAAAAGCTGAATTTAAATTTTCTTTTGTGTATTTGCATTATTTTGTTTTTCCAATGAAGGCTTGTTAGCAGCAACATTAACTTTGTAACTCTTTACTGTGTTACTGTAACGCTGACCAATTCTACTTTGCGTTTAGATTCATTCGTTCATATTTAGTATTTGTCGCAGTAGAGTAGTTGCTGCATGCTCATCTGCTGACCTGAAAATCTAGGGCCCAAAATGGCATTGAGATGTATTTGTTTAAATTGGTTCCCAGGTCGACAATCCTAAAAGGGGTGCAAGGCAATGTCATGGGAAGTAAAGGCAACTTGTATGATGTTGATCACATCACCCATCGAGTGCAAATAGGTCTATAAAAATGATGCCTCACAGGTGTGAATTTAAGGTCACATTTACAGCTTTGCCTTGAAGCAGACCTGGCTGACCACATCATCCATTAAGTGCCAGTTGGTCTTTAAAAATATGAAGCCAGCAGCACATATCTTCTTAATTCCTGTCCGAGTGACGTAAATGTGTTGTGCCTGTTTACACTTCTTCAGGGGAGCCCCGTTAGCGCAGTCGATAGGTGACTGGCTTTCAAATCCAGATGAATCACTGCAGCCTACGGCCGTGTTCGAAACTGGGCAGTTCTTAGGGTTAACGCAAACTCTAGGTAATGGGTACCAGAGTTAAAACGAGTTTCAGGCGGACGGCGACACAGTTTCTTTTCAGCTGTCCGTACTGGTGGCAGACCATTTATGGTTTATAACTGTGTGCAATGACGCTGGTTCACATCTCCCGACTTTACCTTTACTTGTTCAGGTATTTGTAGACTTAGCCTTCCTAGTTAGCTTCCTGGAACATCTATAGCTTCATGTGTGTGGTGACTTTGTCATCCCCTGATCCACAGGTGTTGTCCCTAGAGGACCCATCCAGAACAACATCGTTCAGAGTGGTTGACCCTCAAGGAAAGGTAGGAGCAGAGCGTGAGCATTCCCCATTATTCAAGGAGGCTTAAAAAAATCAAAGCTAATATACGGTGCTCTTGCACTGCGCTCACCCAAAAAATTGTCAGATCCTGCAAATGACTGCTTAACCTCAGATATGTATGTTGAGCCCAACCACCCATTGCCGGCTGTACCCTTTAGGGACCCCACCCAGGACTCCAACTCCTTGCACAACTGGGCATCATACTTCCTCAGCATGTTGGGTACCATATATCTAATAACCTCATGACTTAGAGACAGTAATTATTTTTACTTAATGTTTGTCAGCACAGAAGATAAAAGTTAGGTTCATGAATAAAGTTCTTGCCAAACGTACAACTAAAATGACAACCCTTGGTTAAAAGTTAATGATGAAAACATTGTGCTGCTGAGACTTAACCCTTGACCTAGAGATTTACCAGCAGCACAGACAAGTAACATCTCTTGTGGGTGGCGTCTTGTAGCAAGACTCTACCCATGTACATCCTCAATGTCGTCGCAACAGCACTGAGGTACACCAAGACAGCAACCATACATCGGCTGGTTAAGCCCAAATGCCCGACAAAAATAGACCCTACGGCACACCAGCAAGCTCAAAATCTGACCATCATAAATCTTATTGATTGGATAAAGTCCAAATGTCCATATCCCGAGACCCCACTCGCCCGAGTGTTGGGACCAAACAGATAAAGACATACCTGAAGCAAAAAAGTCCAGAACCCACGGGCTGCTCCCCGCTGATCTCCAGAGGGCGCAGCCCTTGTCGAGCGGAAAGCCTAATACGTTTGTGAGGTTAAGCTATTATGTGCAGGACATGATGATTCCTTGGGTGAGCCCAGAACCAGAGCGCTATGTGTCGGCTCTGCATTTATGGAAGCCTCCTTGGATGGCGGGGAATGCCCATTATCTGCTCTGCCTTTCTTTGAGGGCTAACCATTCCACACGGGGCAGCCCCAAAGGGGGTACTCCAGGGGCAACACCTGTGGAGAAAGGGACAAAGAGGACACCACACAAAAAAGGTAACATCTTGAGTCATCCTAGAAATAGGCCTGACGTCTTCCCTCGAAGTCGGAGTACATCTGCCCGTGAGGCAGGGAACAGCAAAAGCCAATAAAACAGTTTTACACGCAAAACTCAGGTCCAGGTAAAAGCCAAAAGTTCAAGCGGACGATTAACCTGACCTTCCGCCGGAATTTACAGCCGGTGAACAAAGAAGAAGAAGTATTATACAAACACATGTTACAGAACTTGACACGACCGGCTGTGGGTCAGATGCAAAGAGGATAACACAACAGTAAGGTTGTACGAATCTATATGAAGACTTACACAGACAACACATTCCTGAAAAAAGTAGGATGTGTTTTCCAAAAGGTGCACACATCGCACTGATGCTGTCAGCAGGCTCAACACAGTTACACCACTAGACAAATCAATGTACACGAAGAATTGCAACACAGCCGTTGAAAGCAATCATTAAAAACATTAAGCAAAGAACAAATCAAAACAAGAGAGCAGAGAAAAGGATATTCAGAAACAAAGTATGTTCAAGTCATCTTCATGTTTATTAATCCTTAATAACATTATTTCAGTTTTAAATTTTACTTACTAACAAATAAACTGTCATACCTAACAAATTAACACATGAATAATTTAATTACACTCCATTTAACTGTATACACCAGTGCAATCCAAAAGTACCATTCAAAATAGCCAGCTTTGCCAACAACAAAAAGTAGTCATTATAGAAAGTCTTTTTCATTGATTTGTCCCGTGATGTCGTGTCAGTCTAATTCCCCTTCTATCTTCTGCACCACCATGGCCACAAAGAAAATATCCATGCTTAAAACTACATACACATATATACAGTACAATGCTGGCTTATTTGACAATGTAATAAGCAAACACAATGTAAAAACCAATGCTCATTTTTAAAAACTAGTATGTTTTTGCAATATTTTAATGGCTTTTACTTTTCCCCACAAGTTATTCAATATTTTTACCTACAGCAATAGCATTAACCCAAAATGGCAATGAGATAGAGAGGAAGAAATCAAGCAAACATTAAGAGTCAATATCTGCAGGATTGCCAGATTTTTGGTCTCTCTTTGTTTTAGATTTGATAGTGTCAGAACTATCAGTAGGCGCATCTGCTGAGCCAGACTTGACATCACTAGATTTTTTGGAGTGCTTTTTCGGCTTGGCCATCTTGCTACTGTGAACAATTCCTGTTGATGCTGTTGTAGGTTCTACTATGTTGGTGTCGGTAACAGATTCAGTTGCTTCAATAGGTTTTGAAGTGTTCTGATCAAACTTGGCATCTTCTGTAGATTTTGGGCTACCTTCTTCTAAAGACTGGGCAACATTATCTGACTTTGCAGAAGTCGAAGGCGGTTTGATATGCTCTGGGAATTTTTCAATTTGATGCTGTTGAAAAAACAAAAACGTCAAGTTTTCACAGATGACCTTCTGAAAGAAGCATTATAAAAGGTCTGCAAGCAACAAATAACAGGAATTAACTGGGACAATACGAGAATTACTAGCCTGTGTAAGTAAGCAAATAATGTCTGCTCTTCCTTTTTTTTTTTTAAACATTTCTGTGAATAACACAGGTAATCTGGGAAGAAACATGAGGTTATGGTGTCTGTCTCAGGCTCAGAAGTTTCCAGGTTCAAATGCCAGCACATAGTTACACAATTTACAAAAACCACAGGTGTTTAATCAATCTTACTGATCTCTGGGGTAGTGAGACAGAAGACTGTGTCCCCTGGGATTAGGACAAAAGCCAGGATTGCTGTACATGCAGACATAAATTATAAAAACTAAGACAAGAAGGTTTATCGATGGGTTAGTTAATTAGTGTTTCCTCTTGAGCCTAAGGCTACACATAGGGCAGAGGTCACAGCTCTGCTTATCTGCCAGTTCGTTGCCACCTGTTTTAGGTCTTGAATGTTCATAAGGCGCATGGGTGAGCTTTCCCTGATGATGGTTCTATGCAGGGTCTCTCCTGGTCTTCCCCGCTTTCTATTCCCTTCCGGTGTTCATATGAGGGCTTGATGGGGGAGTCTTGTCCTATCCATTCAGAGTGCATGGCCGATATAGTTCTAACAGCGCTTTCTTATAAAACTGGACAAATTATCTTGCCTGGTCTCTTGTCTTATTTGTGTATTGAATCTTGAATCAGTCCAGTTAAAATTTATTATTCTTCTAAGACATCTGTTCTCAAAACTGTCTAAGTTGTTATCTACAGCTACCAGTGCTTTCCAACTCTCGCATCCATAAGTTAGCACTGAAATCACACAAGAGTTTAGGATCTTAAGTTTTGTGTGTCTGCTGAATGTCTTTGACTTCCAGATGTTTGTAACAATGGGCAGAGAAGTCATTTTCTCGGATCTTCATCTTCTCAGTGTCCACGGGACCAGGCCAACATCTTCAGACTTAGAACGCAACATACTCCACTCAATGGACACCTAAACAGAATACAGCCACAACACTCCCCAGAGTGCCAGCTATGTAACTACCCCTACGAAACTGTTGAACACCATCTCTTTGAGTGCCCAAAACTCAGTGAGACAAGAAAAACGCTACTCCCTCCGAGACCAGACAAGTGGAACACCTTGTACGGAGGAAAAGAACAGCTTGTGAAAACATGCAAATTCCACTACATGGTATTGGGCCAAAGGGCGAAAGCTCATGCGCCGCTGGATCGATAACAACAACAACAACTCAGTGTCCACCGGTTGTAAACTCTGGTGGAAAGTCCTGGTTGTTCATCCACTTCTGTACACTGACTTTGTTCCAGGACTTCAGTGCTGCATGCACATGTTTTACAAACCTGGCTTATTTGTGTGCAGAGTGTTGGTTCCCTTCCTCTCAGGCAGATGCATTCTGATTCTGAAGTTAACGTCAAAGTAACTATATTGTCGTATCTCTGTGATGCTGGTATTAGGACTATTGCTATGCACAAACTTGGGTATAATAGGGGTGTGTGTGGATGCTGGGAAGGGAGGTGGGGGAGAAAATAACTTTCTGATGGCCATTTGCCTTCTACAGCCTCACTCAGCTTATAATAACAAATATGGCCCTGATTTCATATGACTGTAATAAACTATAAACTTTGATAAACTATATGGAAATGTCATGAACCTGAAATTACCAATATTATTATACACTGGACATTAATGAGGGTGTCTAAGAACAGAGCTTTCACACAAGTTATGGACAAATTAAATTTTGCGACATAGTAATTCAGTCAACCAGCAAACCAGAGGTTAAACTTACCCCTTTTAAGAGACATGGACATTGACAATACTGTTTAACTCTTTACATTCACATGACACACATTCATACTTAATGTGTTTTATAAAACAGTTTGGAAAGCTCTGCCTTACAAAGAATAAGTAAGTATAGTTAGTAAAAGACCCTTTTCCACACCTTTAGGCGTATAGGGCATATAAGGCTAGACCTATATTTTATAGTTGGGTGATGTGGTCAGCATTACGCCGGCCGCCTTCACTTCCCGGGACTGCACCCAGTACCCACTCAAGGCTGGGTCGACCTGGGTTACAGAGAATAAGGAAGAATAAACTCACCTTAGTAACTTTCATTGCCATACCCTCAGGTAGATTTCTCTGTATATATTCTAAAAATGTATCAGCTGTTGAGCCTGTTATGTTTTTTATCTACAGATAGATAAAGAAATAAAATATTATTTTATTTGAACACATAAACACGCAAACAAGCTTCATAAACTCATTTAAACTAAAACAAACAAAAAATTTAAACAGTAATTTACATCTTAGCGCTACTTCTTTATGATTTTAAATCATGTTACTAGGTTATGGCATGGAAAAAAAAAACTCATAACAAAAAGGCTCTAGTTACTGCAAAAAGTGTAACAGCACTTCAAATACAAATATCTAGTCACCATACATCACCAATACACATATAAGACACAAGACTTAGCAAGAAAATGTATCAAATTTTATAAGAAAGCGGCGCTACAATTACACCGGCCATGCACTCAGAATGGATAAGACAAGACTCCCCCGTCAAGCCCTCTTATGGACACCAGAAGGAAAAAGAAAATGAGGAAGACCAAGAGAGATGCAGCGTAGAACCATCATCAGAAAAGGCTCCACTATAGGCCTTATGAATATACAAGACCTAAATCAGATGGCAACGAACCGCCAAATATAGAGAGCTATGACCTCTGCACCGCCTTAGATGAAAGACTAACTATACATCACAATATAGTACAGCGGCCAACCTATTTTCTATAATTAGTACAGTGGAACCTCAAGATACAAGTTTTACAGGAGACAAGGTCAGCCTAGTACATTTTATGTGTGTGTGTGCACCTCAGAACCTTAGAATAAGAGGCAAAACAGGATGTGAGCTGACAGATAAGAATTCTTTGCTTTATCCAAAAGCATCTTAAAAACTTGTAAATGGATTGGGTCCCGTTAGAAATGCAGAAGGAGAACTCAAGCCAGTCAATAAGGCACGTCATGATGACTGACTGACTGCAAAGGAGAAAAACAAAACGCACTACCCACATTTTTTATTTATTAATTAAAATTAATTAAACAAAAACTGTTATTCATTTCAATAGGGTAATTCTGGAAGGCTGGATTGAATTAAAACTCTTAACATTAATTTTAATGGGAAAAACAGTTTCAAAACATGAGCTATTCTTCATATGAGCTAATTAATACATGAAATGGATTAGATTAATATTTTAAGGTTCCACTGTACAGGGTTCCAGGATCTCACCACCAATAGCCATGACAATTCTTCTTCTTCAACCAGTGCCTACAGGGGAAGCCAGATTTAACAAGTGTGATTTGACTAAATCTAAAACTGAAGAAGATACACCCAATAGATGTGATTCACAGGAATGATCCCTCCCCCCTCCTCCACATCATATGTTGCTTGCCACTGAAAAAGTCAAGTCACTATATATTGCAGTCTAATAAGATCCGCAAAAATAACAACTAGAGATGATTCATGAGGTGCCTCATGCGAGGGAACAAAAGAATAAACCACTTGCTCTCTAACAAGCATGTTGTAAAAGTTGACTAATTAGGTGTGTTTCCTTTGAAGTCGGAGTACAATCTGCCTGAGTGGCAAGGAAGAAACAGTCTGCATACAGATACGCCAGATCTGTAAAATAGATGTGCATGCAAAACTCAAGGTCCAAAACAAGACTTAAGTCCAGAAGTGGATGAACAACCAGAACTTTCTGCTGGAGTTAACAGCCAATGAACGCAAAGAAGAAGGAATGACAAGAAGCAAGTATCTAGCCAAAAAGAAACTGTGACTCTTGCATGGCAGATTTTTTTTATACCATTGTTTGTTTCCCTCATCTTAGAAAAAAGTTAGCTGTGTATCCTTCGCAGCCTTTTCTTGCTGGCTGTGGTTTCCCAGGCAATTTTATGTTCAGTCGTCTGCCACGGCTTTCTGGGCGGCCAACTCTTGATATCACTATCGAAACCAATGCACCAAATCCCCTGAAGCTGGAATTGAAACTAACACCCGGAAATTATGAAGTATGTTCACAATGCCTAAGCCCCCCACACGCCGACTATCCTAGTAATGTGTCTTTTTTAATATTTAACTTTTATGACATATGGTTTGCCATCTTTTAATTTCAAATATATTACCTTATAAGTTCTCGTAATACCAACAATTGTATATCCCGTGGAAGAAAAATTACACTTATTAACAATGCTAATCTTTAAGCTACATTAAGTAACACCAATTCTATCATAATGAGCTCACCTCAAAAACTCTATATAGTGTTCTCATCTCGTACTGGTGAAAATGTTTTTTGTGAACAAACACTGATTTCATTAAACTCATTCTGGCTATCGCTTTAGGAGGTTCATATCTGAAAATCAAGTCCGAATCAAATACTATAATTGTGATATAAGCAAATAACAAAATTCTCAAAGGATTAATGAGTTTCAACTCTTCAGTCAGTTTACTGGTGTTCAGATCATTTCAGTCCCAAGAAAGCTTTGCAGGTATTGGAGTCAGCATGGCACAGACAACAGAAAAGGAAGAAGAAATCCTAATGAATGAATGACATATAAATAAAAAAGACATGCAGTTTGCAGGCTAATACGTGTTTCGTCCTTTTTAGGACAAAATTTTTTGTTATTTGAAGCCCCACCCTGGCTTTTGCCAGGGGCCGCAATATAGGCAGGCCATAAATATGGCCAATTGTATGAACGCGGTTTCTGTGACCTTTCCACGGCGATCCTCATCCACATGGTGGCACTTTGTGTCATCGGGTGTTTATCGCTTGTGTGATGTCCTGGTGGGGTAGAAAGTCAGTCAGTTTGCAGGCTTGATGCAACAGCTGATTCACTTAGGCTGTTCAGCAGAACAATCTGTACAGCAGTGGATTCCAGGTCAGTGTGGCTTGGAAAGCAATGGAATAGCGTACAGATTGCAAGAAGTAGCAGTGACATGTTACATTCAAATAATGACTTAACCCATCAAGAGACTTAGGTATTAATACAATCTAGTACCCAAGAAAGGCGACCAGATATACACACTTCTAGAGAGGGACAGTGTGTTTTATTCAGACTAAGGACAGGGCACAACAGACATCATCAGCATATGTTCAAACTTTACGGTGTGGAAAACAAGCACACATGTTCCTGCTGCTTGGCACTAGAAAATGCTGACCATTTGCTCAAACACTGTCAACTGTATGCTGCCAACAGAAATGCAATCTGACCTGTTCCAACTACAATGAAGGTAAAACTTATGGTACACGAGGAGATACCGACTGCATAACAGCTTTCATAAACGCTGCCAGTCTCCTGATATGTTTTCTGACAGAACGATTGAAGAAGAAGAGAAATGCGCATTATTGTATAAAACAACTATTTATAGGGACTAAGGCAGAGTTACGAACCAACCCCTCAGCACCCGGAAACATTCCTGTAAGAATTCTATCCCTAACTTCAGCTCCAATTAGGAAATGAAGTGTTGCAGTGGCCAGCATTTTCTGTCAGTCTAGTTGTTATATGTTCAAAACCCTACTAAGGTCAAGATTTAGTTTAAACACTGGACTGCCAGTTTAATAGTGGTATCATAAATGTTCTGGGAAATTAAGATGACCAGCAGGAAAGTGAGTACTCTATTGACTAGGTGCCAAGTTCACTATACAGAGATGGGGAAAGCGTCACATTCCCAATCTGCTTTATTTTTCTTCTTAACGTTCACCGGCTGTACATTCCAGCAGACAGTTTTGGATGTTCGTCCACTCCCGGATGGTGATCTTGATCCAGAACTTGTTGAGTTTTGCGACACATCCATTTTACAGATCTGGCTTACTTGTAAGCAGGCTGTTGGTTTCTTGTCTCTCATGCAGAGAGGCCTGTGAGCCGAGGAAAACACCCCTACATTAAGCTTGAAAGGGGGCAACTGGTCTATTCTTTGTTCTCCAAAATGAAGCCCAGGAACCCAGACGGGAAATATGCTTTATGACAAGAAAAGAGTTTAGTTTACTTACATTTTTGTAATGTTTACATCCAACTCTTCTGCTGCCATTGCTGTGAATTTTTGGTAGCTGTTTAGGATTGCTTTATCGTGGCCTTTGACCTCTATAGTAAGCTGTCTGTACAATTCATCCTGAAAATAGTTCATCATTAAAAAAGCAGATTAACTACCCACAACTTTCCAACCTTCTCTGGATAAGAAACTGACTTTCCCACAGGTAATCAGCAATATCTGACGCCCCCTCCGCCCGCTTTCTTATAAAAGTGAATTTGCTTTAGACATATTTCTAAGCCAAACAAACTCTAAAATAATCAGCACCCAAGTTCAAAACAACATAAGCACGTACCTTATTTGGGGTTGCTAAGTTGTGAACATTCAAACTGAATGTACAAGCTGGTTTAAGATACTGTAAGTTCAATGTTGAAGAAATCATCTGCATCTGTTGAGATAACAAACAAGTGTGAATGGGTTGCCATTAAAAAATCTTACTTGGAAACTATCAGACATCCAGAGTTTCTGCAATATACATTAATTAATGAAAAATGATGTGTATCTGCCAGATACAACAACTGTGTTGTAAAAAAAAAAAAGTAAAGGACCCTTTTCCATGCCTTTAGGCATATAGGGCTAGACCTATATTTTTATAGACTAATTGGCACAAGATGGGTGATGTGGTCAGCATCACACTGGCGGCCTTTACTTTCCCGGGATTGCACCCGGTACCCACTCAAGGCTGGGTCGACCTGGGAGCCAAGGTCATTTTTGAAAAAAGTCCGGCTCCGCCAGTACACGAACCCACGACCTTCTGATCCGCGACAAGCGTCTAGCCGCTCGGCAACGGCGACTCCCTAACTGTGTTGTACTGTTTACAAAAAAGTGAAATTTAAGGTGCATGGTTGCACCCAGTATAAAAAAGTAGTAAAAGTCCCTTTTCCACGCCTTTAGGTGTATAGGGCATATAAGGCCAAACCTATATTTTTATAGACCAATTGACACAAGATGGGTGGTGTGGTCAACATCACGTCGGGTGCCAAATATAGTATCATCTTATTTGTCTCATAACAGATCAATATAACTGTTGAGTGTTATTGAATGGGTTGTCATCAAATAATCTTACTTTGACATTATCAGACATCCAGAGTTTCTGTATGTTTTCTTCTCCCTTTCTAGCCCCCAATGGAGCAAAGACCCTTAACCAACTTCTTTTGCTATCGCATGCAGCTCTCCCCATGTCACCCTAATTTTTCTAACTTCATTCTCCAGCTCCCTTCTCCGTGTGTTTTTTTTCCCTTCCTTTATTCCTAAACCCCTGTGGGTTCTAGTGCAAAGACATTTTCTGTAATATACATTATTTAGTGGAAAATCACATGTTACCGCCAGCTGTTTCTATAGTTTCTTTTTGTATGGTTTAAAAAAAAAATTACATTTACAAAAGTGAAATTTATGAGACATATCAATGCAAGAAGTTGTATGGAGAAATTATTGGTCTTGTGTGGAAAGAATACAGGTCAAGGGTGTGAGGTGAAGACAGAGAAAGATAAATGTAGAAACTTTAAATAGCAGTGCAGTAAATGAAAAAATATCTTGGTTACAGGTGAAAATAAATCTTCGAACAATTGTTTGCTATGTCTAGTTCTGCTAGCTGGGGGTGAAAATTTGCAGTTGAACTTAACATCTGCAGAGAAGACTAGTGGAATTGTTTCATTATCATCATGTTGTGCCATTATATGTCACATAGGGCTTGCAGTCTATTAGGTCCTTCCCTTCTATTCTGTGCAATCCCTTCAATATCAGTGATATAATTCAATTCAACATTCAGTGCCTATTGGGTATTTTATGCTCGCTTATTCTCAGGTTGTGTCAAAAATATATTATCGTATTTGTCTTATAACTGAACAGTATAACTGTTGACATTGTTGCTGATACGATCGGCTGTTTAGACATTTTTTGAATTTTTCTCAACTCTTTGATGATTTTCCCCTAGTAAACTGGTGTATGAATCTATCCCTATCGGACTAGTCACCAGTATACTGGCGTATCATAGAAACACTAATTTTTTCTCTATTTGTGGGGGGAAAGAAACTTTTATGAACAAGTTTTTGAAAAATTAGGATTAACAACAGGAAGTCCATTTGTTTGCGATATTCTGCGTGGCTTTTGCATCACTTTCTAAATTTTAAAACATTAGTTAGATGAGATACAGTTTTGTATGTGATTTTTCTATACTAAATGATCATCTAGTATAGAAAAATCACGTACAAAATTGTCATCACGATAAGGAAAAAGGTCTAGAACTGTTCATAATGCTCTGTCATTGATGAATCTCTGCCAGATGGTGACACTAATCTTGATATTATGATTGATATCTAAGTGACAAACCTATTGGCAATAATTTAGTTTAGGATATGAAAAGTGAACAAAATATTTTAATTAGATCATCTGTTTTCCCGATTTTCAGCTGTTGTAAAATCTGACACGTCACACAAAAATGATCATAACATCCAAAGTATTTAAATTAACTGTTTCAAATAAAGACTAGCCGAGACATAATTTAACACAGAAGGCATGTGAATTCTTAGAATTGGATAGCAGTGTTATTGAACAAGTAAAAAAAGTAAGGTAAGACTTAGATTTATTCTGCACTCATTTATCTTTAATCTGAAATATTATTATTATATGTCCCGATACAGCAAATACTTTTTTTCAGGAAGGTTTTAGCTTTGTCGTTTTGTAGTAAAAAAAAAAAAATATTCTGCTCAAAATTAATGCTGTCCAAACCCAATAAAATGTGGCCCTGAAAGAGTTAATAAACTAAATTCTACTTTCAATTTTTTAAATTCTTATAATCCCTGCCTTCTGAGATGTTCAGTCAATTCAGTCAATCATCAGTTTTCAGTTTCTTCCCTTCTTCAGGCCTTACTTTATTTTGAAAAAATGAATCATTTGAATGCACTAAACTTTCACTCTATGTCTAAAGTGGTTTTCTAACTTTCATTTACTTATGTTAAAACTAAAATCACATTAGAAATGAAAATACTTAACTGAGTTTTAAGTAATCATTAGTAATTAATTATTAATAGTTAGTAGGACCTCCCCCAACAGTCCAACCAACACAACTACTTAGGGCTAACTTAATAATTTGATGAGGTTAAGCCGCTACTGCAATAAAGAGAAGAAGCATGTTTTAAAGCTATATTTACAGTATATAATTAAATTTAGATTTTAACTAAACATTTATTCTATGGAGTAATTTTCCTGCCTTTGTAAAAGCGAAGAGCATAACAAACTACAGACTACGTACCGAAGCAAACTGCGATGCCAGTGCCCTCGACCTCCGTGCGACGAACGCCATGTTGTTAACTAAGATCATATAAATTCCGGATCGGCACCAATGAAAGAATGCAATGATGTGCCACCAAGGAGGCAAATCTAGCTAAACAATAAGTAAAACCAGTCAGTTTCCAAGCAAAGCATAATTACGAAAGACACAATGAATGTTGTGACTAGAAAGACTTCTTTAATAGGTACACGTCTCCATGTCAAATCTGCAATAATTTTATGGCAATAAAAATATATATTCCCCAAGAGTAACCAAAGTAAAGGGCACCATTTCACGCCTTTCCGGCGTATTGGGTATATCGGGCTAGACCTACATTTTATAGACAAAACGGTACTTGATGGGTGATGTGGTCAGCACCACACCGGCCGCCTTTACTTCCCAGGACGGTACCTGGTACTCACTCAAGGCTGAACAACAGAGAACCATGGCTCTTGCTATGCTTGATGAGAAGTATCGAAACACCACTTGGACTCAGGTTTTCACCGACGGCTCTGCTATAGATGCAGTCAGAAAGGGGAGTTGTGGAATATACATTAAACCCCCTAGCAGTAGAGCAGAAACTCTCTCTCTACCAGCAGGTGACATCTGCACTAACTTCAGAGCTGAGGCAACTGCCCTCCTTTCTGCAGTCCAGACAAACTAATTGCAGATCTAACGACCAACATTGGCTTACTCTCCTAGGAAGCAGAACTTGTCTTGCAGTGGATACCAGCCCACTGTGGTATTCAAGGAAATGAGAGAGCAGATGAGTTGGCAAAAGCTGGGAGTAATCTTCCACAACCTCATCCACCACACAGCTACAAGGAAACCAAAACAGCACTAAAGCAGTCTTTCAAGCGGGAGTGGAGAAAGCAGAAAAGAGATTACAGACCAGAAAGTGACAGCATAAACAAACTCAACAGGAAAGAACAAACATCAATTTTTAGACTTCGGACTGGACACTGCGGTCTTCGAGCACACCTGTACAGGATAGGCATAAAAGAATCTGCTGCCTGTGATTGTGGAGCAGAAAGACAGACCCCTGAGCACATACTGCAGTACTGCCCTTACCTCTCCCAGCAAAGACAGTGAATCTGGCCCAGGGGATCCACATTACGAGAGAAGCTATGGGGGACCGGTGGCGAACTTAAACGCGCAATCCTATTTTTGACCCAGACGGGACTCAATGTGTAGCATGACTGATGTCGAACGCAGAAGAAGAAGAAGAAGAACTCAAGGCTAGTCGACCTGGGAGCTAAAGTCATTTTTGAAAAAATGTCATCAGGAGCCGAACCTTCGACCTTCCGATCCAAAAGGCGGCACTCTTCCGAATACCGGCCCCATATTATTTGCCGGTATTCGGAAGAGTGCCGACGACCACAAATACAAGGAATGAATGTTGTAAGTCCTTAAAAAAGCCCGGTGGCATTTTGTACCACAGAGTGTTTATCCCTCTTTGTGAGGTCCTAATAGGGTTTTATGTCACGATTTAAGTTTCAATTTTCCAGCACGCCCCAATGCAGGACGCAATTTTTTAAAGCCCCAATCCCGGCTGTAGTCTGGGGCCTTATAACCCAATATATGGGTTGAACGTGGTTTCCGGGACCTGTCCCCGGGTTATCCTCATCCGATGGTGACACTTTGTTTCACAAGTGTTTGTCGCTAGGTGTGATTCAACCCCGGGTGGGGCTGAACGTCTGTCAGTCATTCCCCGTCACCACCACCACAAGGAAGCAGCAGCTACAGCTGCTACATGTACAGCTGCTGCAAGCACTACTACAAATGAAAACAATAGCCGCTCCCGTCAAGGGAAGACACTCTGAATTTACAATTGTCAGTAACATATCAGACACTAACTTTTAAACTTGCTGACACTGTCAGTGACAGAATCATAACATAATAAAGTTACAGTCTTTTCATGTTTGCAGAGACGTTTTTTAAATATTGTGTTTGTACTTTCTTTCCATTAACCACAGTATTATATGAAAAAACAAACAGAGAGACCCAATTTTATCACAATATCGAATATTGCGGATTTAAATAATAATTTTGTTGTGGGATGAATGGTGAGTGGACTGCATTTAATTTCAAATTGCGTTACCGGTTGACCTACCGACACT